TTTTGGAAAATTCTTACCAAACAGCTGTTGGACGTTTGACATAGAAATGACAGTAGGCTGAAGTTGGTGGCAGATTTTTCATCTCACCCTGTTTATAGAAGATCAATTCGAACAACTGTCAAGAGAAGTACTAAAGGGGAGCCCTTCAACATCCCGAAAATCGATCCGTCTGTTATAGGACTAAATATGCCGAAGCATTTGTATCTTTTAAATTCGGACTTGTATTGCCCATGAATATCGTTATTACGGAGTGCATATTACGGCTGTGGGTAACAAATACAACAAATCGCATGAACAGTATATATGGGAGCTATAACTATATCTGAACTGATCTTCACCAAATTTGGCATACTACCTTCTAGACTAAATTCGGTCGTATGTGCCAAATTCCATCCCATTTGGAGAAATATTAGACGTTTGGTGCACAATAAATGGTAAATCGGACGAAGTTATAAATGGGAGCTATATCCAAATCTGAACCGATCTCGATAAAATTTAGCAAAGGTATTTCTGAGCTGAATTTGATATATTTCCCCAAATATTGTTGTTACAGAGTGCATATTACGGCTGCGGAGGACAAAAATAACAAATCGGATGAACAATATATATGGGAGCTATAGCTATATCGGAACCGATTTCGATAAAATTTGGCATACTTATTTTCAGGCCTAATTTGGTTGTATGTGCAAAATTCTATAATATTCGGGCTGATATTACACGTTTGGTGCACAATAAAAGGCAAATCGGACGAAGATATATATGGAGCTATATCTAAATTTTGACCGATTATCTCCAATTTCAATAGGGTTCGTCCTTGGGCCAAGCAAATGTTGTTTGCAAAATTTCATCTCAATCGGATAATAAATGCGACGTGCATTTTGTTCACAAGAATACATGGACAGACGGACGGACGGACGGACATGCATAAATCAACTCAGAAAGTGATTCTATGCAGATCATCAAAAGGAACTATGGGTCTATCTCGTTTCCTTCTTCATGTTACGAACAAATGCACAAAGACATAATACCCTGACCACCTTGTGGTCATAAAAAAGAATGAGAAATCACTGCTCCCTGTACTTCCTTGCAAATTAAGGCCTCACAATATTTAATCAATTACTCCGATTCACCCCTGCAATTCATATTAGAATCTGCAACTGGTACAGAAATCGAAAAACACAAAACAGCCACAACAACAAACATAAATTGCTGTATAATTTTGGAGGTTTTCCAATGCTGATAATGATTATGATTCTGATGAACTTCATATGTGGCATTATTTTGTTTGGCATTTGGCTCAAGTAATCTTCCATTAATTTCTCTCACAAATTGGATACGGAGTGCGTGGGCGTTCGTGAGATTGAAGAAAATAGACACATCATTTACAGGGCACTAGATGGTAATAATGTTGTGTTATGTCTCCTCCCCCTCCTCTAGCTGGGGTTTCAAATTCAAATTGATTCAAGTTTATGCTGGATACGACTAGACATTTGAGGCGGCATTGGCCGAACTTCATGTTTTTCTTTGTCCGCATTAATTAGTTAGTTGGCATTGTCGGAGAAATGTGGTTCTGTTGCTAGCATTTTATCTCCATTTAATTCATATGCATCTGAACTAGACCTCATCAGCATCCTACATTTAGACATTTTTAAGGCGACTTCTGCTGCTGCGGCTGCCAGTTGGATGGCTGGCTGGCTGACCTAACAAACAGTTTGCATGTCGTCTTTTCACGTCTTTAGCGGTAATTGTTTGTAAGAAATATTACTTCCGTTGACACTGAATTTAGATTTAATGTTCATTTGGAACTAACCCCAACCCCATGGATGTCCACGACATTCATGTGCGACAGGCATCCTCATCCCGCCTGCTTCTTCTTCTCCTCATAGAATTTATCTCCACACGGCGAGGCGACACGACCACGACTGTGATAATCCGTCCATCCCACCAATGATGACTTTGATTTGAACGTTCGGCTGGCAGCTCTGTTGCCATCGTTGAGTTCTGTTCTATTTTTTTCTGTTGGAAGTGGAACCGACATCGTTGCGACCCAGTAACCAAAATTATTCAAAACCATCACACTTATCCAACACTGGCAGCCGCTGCTGCTAAAGGTTGGCGATATCATTTCATTTCATATTTTATTCCATTTTATTTTATTGCATCGTTTGATGAAGCAAATTTAGTTTTAGACATCTAAGTGTTTGTAATAACATCCATTTGTTGAGCAGAAAAAAAAGAAGGCGGTGATTATAATTTCGATTGGCGGTGTGTGAGTGATACAAAAAATAATCCCAGCCATGGTTGTTTTTGTTCGTTTCCTGGTCTAGTTCTCAGGGCTGAACCAAATTTGAAATTCCCATTATATGGCGTCATCGTATCATTTTTTATTCCTCTCATCTTTTTAGGGTGGGCAGAATACAATTAGCTGCTAGTATATTGAATTTACGTTAAACAAATTGAACAATTGTTTAAAAATGATTTCGGAAATGTCATCACGTGTAAAATATTAAAAATTGTTTTGAAAAACGGCATTTAGTTGTGGTTTCGCAGATTTCATAAAAATTTTAGGAAAGGAAATAATTTCCAGTCTTTAAAAATACGTAGTTCTTACTCCAAATCGTCTCTCTTCATGGCTCAAATTTACTGTAACACAAAGTAACCTCTTCTTCATTTTTTATTTATTTTTTTGATAAAAGAGAGGTTGTTGAGCTGTAAACCTTTGCTTTGCCCATTTCAAGTACAAATCAGAAGCATGTCAAACTTTCAAGTTCTAACAAACCAAACCAAATTTGGTACTATTTGATACTTTTCGTACAATTATTGTACATATTTTCAGACCACATCCATGAACAGCGACCCTAGTATGAAATTTCAAGCACTCTCGGGTCAATCAATACCAAGTTGTATCAAATATAGTAATATTTAGTACTTTTGGTGGACTTGAAGTACATATTTCTAAAGTCACCTCTTTATCACAAACCTTCCACCAAAAAGGATACCAATACAAAATTTCAAAATTCTTGCTTCAGCCACCCGTTCTCCCTAAATCAAAGTGTTTCAGGTTTTGTACAGTTCACAAATTTAGAACAATTCAAATGTGTACTAACATTCTAAAACCGTCTTCATATATCAAACTTACTTTCCAACCTTCAGTCTCATACCAAGTTTCAAGTTTTTAGCTCAAACCTATCACATACATCTATACTGCACGCGATTAGTGACTCTCATTCCAAATTTCAGCTCATTTCATTTTTAAATGTCTCACAAAAAATAATTGGCCAATTTCACCCGCTAAATATCAATCCAAAATGATTAACACCTACCCTGTCTAAAACCCTACCCCAAATAAAATTAGAGTCCTATCGGATTATAATTGTGACCTGTAGAGCGAATGCAAAATATTTTGCGAACATCTCCAAAGAACAAAAGTCTTTATCCTGACCTTAAACCTAACCCAAAGCCAAATTTCGTGAAGATCGGTCTGTAATAGTGACTTGCAGATTGACTACAAATTAATATGGGCCGATGGACGGAGGGCCGATCAGCTCAGCTTGGCGACAAAGAAAAATCGATATATAACATGGTGGATCTCGGACCAATATTTCCAGGTGTTACAAACTCTTAGGCCCAATCAAACTTATGGATATAAAAACAAGTAAAAATAGATAAACTCTGACCGGTCTGGACTTAAAATATTAGAAATTGGCAAAATCAAAAGATTCGACGAAAATACTGGTAAAACCATCAAAATATATGAATATCGGGTGCTAAAGTTATATGGATATATAGGTAAAGGGATCAGTATAAGCAATTTTCCGGTATAGGTGGTAGTAGCCATTACAAACTACAAATACCGTATGAAAATAATTTCGTTGAAATTGAGTCACACAATTCATCAAATTACCGAATATCGGAAAGTAAAGTAATATACTATACCAAAACTTAGTCCCATATGGAAAGTTCTTTGCAATTCAATTTACAGCAAATTTGGCCTAAAATTATGAATAAAATACCAAAAAACCTTAAATCTGGAGGAACTGATATATAGGGCTATACCAAAACGTGGACCTATACGGCTTTTTATCAAACATTTTACTGTCATAAAATGCATTTCTATGGTCCTGTTCCCGTTCGGAGTTTAAAATGGTTTTCTAAATTGACAGAGAAATGTTTGCTGATCAAGAATATATATACATTGTGGGGTCTAAGAAATGAATGACAACCTTAATATACCCTCGATAGTATGGTAGAATGTGTAATAATAGCCCCGAGGCTAATAGCCCGCTTCCTGTCAAATTTGTATGCAACAAGTTGTTTTTATTCATTCAATATGTTTCCTCATTTTTAAAATCAGTTGATCATCGGGAAAAATTAATGCCTGGATTTCCTTTCAAAAATGCGGTCTAGACAGTTCTATCTTTCAATTCTATAGTTAAACTGGCGAATAACTCTAATGCGCGTCTCGCAATTTACGCGTCTTCCAATCATTGATTTCGAAAATATTCGGTTTATATTTTTCAAAACAATAAATACATGCACAAAAAATGACAAAAGTCGGACACACTTAGAAAAAAAATGTAATCAGCTGGTAGCTCTACCTCACCTTTTTATTATACCATTCCCCCGCCAATTAACAGCTACTTAGATTGCTAATTTCAAAACTTCAGTTGTTCATTTTATTTATATTTTCTTTATTTTATTCATTCAGTTGGATTTATTACAGATTTATATATGAAAATAAAATTTTCGAAATTTATATGATTATTTTAGAACCAGTTGATTGCTTAGGTCTGGAGTATTCCCTCATTGGCTTAACTTCATATGTGACCAAATGACCATTCGCCGGGATGAAATCATGATATTGGTAAAGATCAGCCTCGTTTTGAAAAGCATTACTCTTTGAAAAAGCGCCAATATACTCTAGACTTAAGAAATATGAATTCAAAATTTAAATAGGTCTCACATAAATTGTTAATCTTTTTCCATTTTCAATTTACCAGAAATTTGCAGAAAATTCCTGGTCCCCAAGGATTTCAAAGCAGATGACAGCGAAATAAAATTCCACATGGAAAGTTGGCAAATTGGAGCTTAATGGAAGCCAATCATCCTCCACAATCACGCCTCTTTATTATATTATATTCTAAAATACTTTAAATAATTACAATTTGTTACATAACATTTTTAAATAAAAAAAAATAAATAATAAAATCAAAATCTACAAATGTGTTTTTATTTACCACTAAATGGAAGTTAACATCGTAAGTATATGTCTAAAAAAAGGTCACGTCATTTTGCCTTATGACGTCACGTTAAAACCGAAAACACATTTTTCTGCAATTCCCCAAAATACCAGGCGCCCAGAATTGAGCAGCAGCATACTTAAAATTAAAAAAGTAAAAAATTTGAGTTTGGCAACGCCGTAAAAAGTTGCAATTATTTTCAATCTGGCAATGCCTGTTAGCCAAAATCCAGAGCATACTTTCAGGCGCGTATTAATATTTGGATATGGCAATGCTGTAAAATTTGATCTGGCAATGCCGTACCAAAAATTATGAGAAAATTATTTTGATCTGGCAATGCTGGTTCGCCAAAATCCAGAGCATACTTTCAGGCGCCCCAATTTTTGTTTTTTTTTTTCATATTAGATACCTACTAACAAATTCTGGGCGCCTGGTATTTTTCAAAAATTCATGTTTTGTTACCACTTACTTTTTTTACCTTGGTGAACAAACAAAATATTATTTTTTCCTACTCATTTCCTCCCAATTTCCTTCATTTATTTGCATAATGTAAGAGAAAAATAATATTTTACCATAATTTTATTTATTTATTGGTGGATAACAATTAAATTATCATAATATTAATCATATTATGTATATATTACTAGGGAACAACCATGGTTTCGGAAAGAAGCCCCATTTCTCGCCCAGAGTTTTCTGGCCTCTCCCCATCCAAATTTTCCTCTAATTCATTCTTTTTATGAAACAAAAATGGAATTAAATTTGACTATTTTGAAAAAAAATTGCGGAAAAAATCAATTATGAGTTCTAAATAAGAAATATGCCCATAGATTTATTAACTATTTATTTTTAACTTCGTTTAACGTTTAAATTAGCAGTCATCAGGAAATATTCCAAAAGCCTAGGTCTACTACTAGGAACTGGAACGCAAATGTACATCGAGTAAAATATTGTGCGCTGGAAATGAAGCGAGGAGCCTCATGTTGTAACCATTCTTGGTTGGCGCGTGCTGAGTCCTTTTGGAATGTCCAAGGTCTGCGGCCAAAATGTTTGCGTGCCCAAGGCTTTAATACACCCTCCAGAATATTTTCGCGATAATATTCTGGATTTATTCAGATGTCGATTAACACGGGCGGAGAGCGACCATATGCTGTTATGGCGGCCCCACCACTTGGTGTCCAAGTATATTGTCAGCTGATCTCTTTGACAAGTAAACACCACTATTTTGTTTTTTTTCCAAACTGCTGGACAACGAATGTTTTCTCATCGGAGAAAATCAAACCAAATTCAGCAGTAGACCACTTTCAGCCAAGCGAAGCAACTCTTTAGCTCTTTTGAGTCTAGTTTATTACTGTTGCGGTGTAAGTTCTTGCACTTTTTGGAATTCAATGGCTTTACCCCGAGCTCATTTTTCAATATTTGCCGAATTGAAGATTGGAAGATATGTTCTGCTCACGAGCCATGTTTCGGCCACTGCGACGCGGGCTTCGATCAAGTCGCTTCTTTACTTTTCGAACCATTTCTGCTGATGTTGCTGTTTTCTTCAGTCCACTTCTTGAAGTCACAGTAAGGAGGGATGGTAGGAGACACAAAAGATTTATTCATATTTAAATGCTGGAGTGCTCTAACGATAGCCACTTGTGGTTTTCCAGCCAAATATAAAGAAATCACACTATCGCGCTTGAATACAATCACAAATAACTTTTTCTGGAAAATTCTCACAAAAATGCTTTTGTACGCTTGTAAACAATATAATGAACTGTCACTGGAATAATTTTAACAGCTGTCGGACGAGTGGCTTGGAAATGACAGCAGTCTGAAGTTGGTTGCAGTTTTTTCCTCTCACCCTGTATTTGCCAGAGGCTATCCTTCATTTGGAACCCATCCATATGTCAGTCATCTCATGACTTTTATTCATATATTTCATATTTTTTGAAATATGTGTATTAAAATTTAATTATTTATGTCTATATAAGAAAACATTCGTACTCAATGTAAAATTAAGTCCATTTTCGTTACGGTTTAAGGAAAAAAATATCTAATATCTCTGAAAGTGGTCCTTAATATCGCGTTTAATCGTTTTTATAACAAAATCGGCATGGCTACCATATAAGAAAAGGATAAATGAAAAGAAAAAGGTCGCATCATGTAATTTTTTCCTTGTGACGTCACAAGAAACTGAAAAGCACACTTTCTGCTATTTCTCAAAATACCAGGCAACCAGAATTAGGCAGCAGCAGATTTCATTATAAAACAATAACACTTTTTTGGCCTGACAACACTGTTAAAGCTAAATCCAGAGTCTACTTTAAGGAGCACACATAGTTTCCACTATACAAATGTTTTACTAAACAATGCTGCCAAGTTGCATGCATCCTAGACTGAATCCAATGCTTTAGTATGTAGTAAAGACACAATCCACAGCAATGAAAACACACACACCCTGTAATTATGATTAAACAACATGGTGTTACAACTTGTTTTGTTTTATTTTCCTTTATTTTCTATGACCTTTTCTCAATACATAAATCATAATGAAATGTGTATTTTAAATAAAAACAGGAATTTAAAACAAAATATTTAAATAAAAAAAATGTCATTTTATGTATTTTATCTTTACAATACTATGAGCATTTTTGGGAGCGAAATAAAGAAAATAAAAAAGTTTAATATATGTAATGCAGTTTTTACAAATATTTCATAAGATATTTCATAAATAAATTTCGAATCGACGTTTTCATGAAAGCACCCAAATTTGTATATTTTTTTTCGAAAAAAAAAAAAAACTTTTCAAAACATGCTTTCCAATTTTATTTATGAAATACTTTTCTGTCTTTTCAAAGGATAGTGTGTTGTTTTGTGTATTATTTATTTCATTTATTTAACTAAAAAATATTTTATTTCCTTATAAAACACTTAGTTATACATTTCGTTTAAATTAATTACTTTTATATTATCATAAATTATCTTTGCTATATTCGTTTATGTTTAAAGTAAAACTTTGTTTTGTTTTTAACTAATTTTAGGGGTTAATATTATTTTCGTTTTCTTTTTGAGGGGAACAAAGAATTTGAAAAGGTAAAGAGATTCATAGGAGTAGATAAGTATATTTACAAACAAATTTATTTATTATTTTTTTTAAATATTATTAAAAATAAATTCTGGAAATAGTTGGGAAAGAGAAAAGAAATAGTTTTCTTTATAAAATAAAAATAATATTTAAGCATTTGGTTAGTTTATATGAAACGAGTAAAGTACAAATGTTTTTCCAAGGGATTGTGTTTGTTGTTGTTGTGTTTTTGTTCTTTTCTTTTTTATATATCAATGATTAAACAGGTACATATTTCAAACAAAAAGAAGAGCAAAGGGAAGTATTTAAATTTATTTTATTTTGTTTTAGGACAAAAGCAATTTTATTTTCGTTTCACAAATGGCAGCTGAATAATTGAAAAAGAAAGTTGTGTTTAGTCTTTATTGTTGTTATTATTATTGTGTTTTGTTTTCTGTTGAATATTTTTTTTTTATTTTATTTATAATATTTTTTTATTTCATTTCTTTTTAGCTGCTTTTGGTGGCATTAATATACGAGTATTCGGTAATCGTTTGTTTTCGTAGTTATTCATTTGGTATGAATTGTTTTGGCATTGCATTTACTTTAATCGTTTCATTTGTTGCTTGTTTTTTTTTTCTTGTTATTAATTTATAATATTTTTTTCTTATATCATTTATGTGTTTATTTAACTTATGTACGTATGAATTTCATTGTATTTACAAATTATTAGTTTTTGTTTATTTTTTTTTTGTTATTATGTTAACAGTGCTTATAGGCATTTAACTACAAATTATTTATATAACATTATTCAATATGTTTTTTTTTTAATATTTAATTTTTCTATTATTATATATTTTGTGGAGGAAAGATGTTTTTTGTTGAATGACATTAGGTTTTTTAAAAATGCCAAATTTGGTGAAATTTTGCATTCATTAAAATTTCTAAAGAACAAAGTCTATGAATAATTTAAGGCAATTAAAATAACATGAACTTTGGCCGCAAGGACTCGTATATTTACAATGAAAGCCATTAAACGAATGAATTTAAAGGAAGTGACAAAAACTGTGTTGGCTTTTTTCGAAATTTATTTTAAAAGTCAAAAGTTTTTTTTTTTTTTTTAGTTAGGTGCAATAATACCGAATTTATTCAGATTTGAAGTGCTCTTGCGAGCACTTAAGTGACGAAAAGTTGGGTTCAATATGACCTAATTTATTTATCAGATTGAAGTGCTCTTGCGAACACTGAATTTTTTCTTAAAAAACATACTGATTACCGCCTGATATTTGAAAATATTGTTGAAAAAAAAAATGGTAAGGTATAGAATTCTTGAATTTCTCACTTGAATTATAGAATGACCGAATTTACATTTATTGAGTTATGAATATAATGTTTGAAGATTTGTAAACATATAATCATGGATTTCAGAATATTTATAGAAAAACTAAAACAGCTATAAACCTATTTTTTAGTGGAAATTTAGGACTTTTAAAAAGTATACTTTCAAGAAATGTAAAATTTATGGAATTCTTATTCTGCAAAAAATATTACCTTAAAATCCACAGTTTTAGGAGATTTGAATTATGGTTGTTAAATGGGCCTTAAATAAGATTTTTTCGTAAATTTGAAGATTTTCCAGCATTTTTTTAACCAGCAAGGACACAATAACTATTTTAATGAATATATCTCAAGTCGTGAACTTACAAAAATGAGAGTCGACATATAATTTCTCCAGAAAAAAATTAAAGTTTTTGTTGTTCAAGAATTTGTCTATACTCTAGTTGTAAGTTTTTAAAAAATACAGTTTTGGGAATAAATTGATCTAGGAGGTACTGTTATGTGGGTCTATATATAATATGTTGACATTTTTCTTTAAGATTGTTATTTACCCATATAGCTGCCTAAATACACAATTTTTTAGCCAAATCAAATGGAAAATGTGTTCGGACCCTTGGTACATTGTACATTTTCTGCGAAGGACGTTTGTAACCCCAAACCAAAACCAAGAGGCAAAATAGGATCCAAATTCATGTAGCCAAGTCCCCGCAAATACCTGAAATCAGAAGATACTTTTATATGAGAGTTAAACCACTAGTTGAGCCTATCTTGATAATTTTTTTCCAAGAATTGTTTCTTTCTAAGAACTAAAATTAACAAAATTTGTAAAAAAAAAGTACCTGAAATCTGGATATATCGTTATATAGGGGGCTAAATTAAAATGTAAACCGACATGACCCAAATTTTGTACAAATTATTCTACATTTGACTCAAAGGCCTGCTCTATCTTCAATTTGCGAAGTATAGAGCAAAATATATGTGAGGCCCTTCGTGTATGGTTAAGGCAACATATAATGAGCCCAAAAAAAAAAAAAAAAAGGTTTTGGTCTGGGAATCCAAAACCCTTTTGGGATTTTGATGTACTAACCTAATACTATCACCTCCACTTGGAATTTCCCATCCCCCCAGACCATAACCTGAAATAGTCGCACAGTATAATTTAGGATTTCTAAAAAATATAAGGACTTATCAAAGCTGGGTTTATTAGATTTTTTTTCGAAAGGTCAATGAATATTTTTATTAACGATATCTGACGGTTGTCTGTGAAAAATCTAATTTTATTGTAAGCAGATCACAAGTTCTCCGGTTTTTACTCCGGAGACCTGCTCGTGAACGGGATTGCTCGATGAATGGGAGATTTATACGGAGTTTATTATTCACCCTTTTGTTTTGTGTGGGACAGCTCTCGAGTCACTCCAGTTTGAAAGGGAGCAGAATCGCTCGAAATTGAGTGAAAGATTGCTCTAAGTGTGAAATCGAGTGGAAAATAGTTTGTTTGCTTATTTGATGTGGCTGTGAACTGTGGGAGAGATTGTGTACAAAATCGTAGAACAGTAGAAGCAAGGTACCGGTTGATTTTTTTAAGAAAGCAATAATGCCATCATAAGCTTTGTTGGTATAAATTAGCCACAAGGATTTTGAAAATATTTCATTTTGTTTCGTTTACAGCTATGATATGAGAAAATACAGCAACAGTATGACAAAAACTAAAAAAAATGCTCGGCTAGAGTTGAATCTGGTCGTTTTTAGAGGAATTTTGCTCTCACTCTAAAATGACAAAGTAGGCTCGCCCCTATTCGAGCGAATTCGTAAAATGGATTTTCCACTTGTTTATACACCCATAACTACTTTTTGGAGGTCTGATTGTAAGACTGGGATAAGTTTTGAGTTTTTAAGAATACAGATGTGCCAGAGCTACCATTTTTGTGGAAACCCCATCAATGCTTTAAACATAGGATTTATGAATATTTTTCGAGGATTTGTTTACAGATTTTAGGGATTCTTTTTTAAGAGAGTTAATCATGGATTGTATGGAATATATTTGAAGGAATAACAGGAAAGAAAATATATCGAAAGTTGTAAAATTGAAAGTAATTTTGGGAAAATTGTAGAATTACAGGGTTGCCCATATTCGACGGACCCATCTGGCAACGCCATAACTTTTGACAGAGATGTCACATCGCTTAATGACATACCGCGTTTGAAGCGTCAGTTCAAGCAGATTTTTATCATGAACCAATACACGACACGCAAGCGCTCTGAAATAGTTGAAATTTACAAAAACTTATCGTGCTTTTAAAACATTAAAAAATGTGAGAAGTGGCCTTCTAAGAACACCATTAAGCATTTATACGAAAAATTTTCGACTGGTAAGGCTCTTTCTAATCCGAAGAGCCCATATAAAAGTCGACCAAGGCGATCGGCCGAGAATATCGCTGCCGTACGAGCCAGTCCCCAAGAACATCCCAAAAACGCCGTTCTCAGTATGGGCAAGCCTGTATAAAGAATATTCGAAAGCATGCATAAATTTTTAGAAAAAATTCTATCTTTATAAAATTTTCTTTCTACATTGAAGGCCTTCTATCCAAAGAATACAAATTTAAGGTCTACATCAAGAAATTATCGTTAGGTTTGGAAAATTGTCGGGTTATTACCTATGGAAAAAATAATTTTATATATATTGGGTCACCGTTTTTCGAATTGTTGGATCTAAAAATATTTGTCAGTACAATTTTTACAGAATTTAATAAATTGTAAAATTAATAATATTACTGAAATTTACATTGAAATTACATATTTTTAAAAATAATTTTTTTAAATACATTTTTTAGAGAAATAGGTTCCAATGCTTCCCATATGCCAATAATTTTTGTAAACATTTTTTTATCGTAAATTTGAATATCATTCAACAAACAACATCTGCGCCCCAAAAAATAATATTAATTTAAGATCTAAAATTAAAAATAATAATCGAGGATTAATGTTTTGTTTGTATAAAACGAATACATTATTAGGATAATATTTGTGTATATATAAACATAAAGCTTAATAATTTGACATTATGATTTTCTCGTAATTTTGTCTTTGTTGTGTTTCTTTTGTTCATTTCTTGTTGTTGTTTTTTTACTGCAGAAGCCAAAGGCAATCATTTGTTTTTTTCGGGGTTAGGAGACACCTAATTAATTTGTGTGTGTGTTTTTTTTCTTCTTGACGAAACGAAAGGGCGGCGATTTTTGAAATCTTAGTATAGTGATAGAGGTTAATTATATGTATGTATGCTCGATTTTGTTTTGTTTTTGCATTTCTCGTATGTATATTAAGCCTTAATTTGTAACAATTAATGTTATCATCTTAAATATTGAGTTTTCTCTGCTTTGTTTTGTAGGAAATTTGTTCCGTCTTTTTTTTTTCTATTTAATTGTTTTTTTTTTAATTTTGCTTAATTTGTTATAAGTTTGTTGTTATTTTTTTTTTGTTTTAAAAATATTATCAAAAATTATAATAAACTGTTGTATAATTTAAACATTTGTTTTTTGGTTTTTCTTATTTCATTAACTATAATTGCTTGTTTTGTGTGTGCGAGTGACAGACATTTCCTGCATCTGGACTCACATGTCGTCCTCCAGCGTTTTAGCCAAGAAGTGTTGGTTATGTGATGACTTGGTCGGACCATAACGTAGTTGTTACATACCTTGGTTCACCATAAATTGTGCCTGAATCTGTGAGTTCCGAAGGTGGAGATTGATGACCATGATAACGAAGTATAGGAAGCTGCCGATGCCGATGCTGCTGCAGATGGTGGTGGAAATACAAATTATATGGCAGGTGTAGATTATTGTTAAACAGTAAATGCTAATTTGGAATGCTATTGTATTTGCAGGACTTGCAGCATTTCTCCTGGTAGCGTTGCAGGCGACACAATCCCATGGAGCGTACATTGCGGCAATAGCGTGAAGTATCTTTACATCGCTCAATGGCTGTGAAAGAAAAAAAAAAAAAAAAAAACATTACAACAATACCAATTAGATGTGTTTTTTCTTCTTTCTTTTATTTTGTTCTGTCTTTAACTTCACCGTCCCATTGGGGGTCGGACATCGAGTATTGTGCTTTATTTACCTTTTGCATAGCAGGGTGGACTTTTGCAGACTTTCATTACTGCAGGTCGGTTTTGATGTTTGCAAGCATTGCCCGCTGGTCTCCGTGTGCCATACCAAACACACTGCAGTATGCGATATTTGATGCCCTGGCGGCCACAAGGAGCATTGCACTGTAAATATCATCAAATAGGAATAAGTTGAAGAAGAAGCAGAAGCAGAATAAGAAAATAAAAACAAACGAACTCAACAATTTACGAGTGGAGAAAAAATATTGACAAAACCGGCAAAAATATGCCAAACGAGTTGGAAAGAAATGGGGAAAAATGGAATGAGTCGACCATAAAATATCCTACAGCGATGGGACAATAAGAGCTTAATTTTATAGAAAAATTGGGATTAAAGGCATACATAATTTTATACGTTATATTTTAAGCATGGTACAAATATTTCGATGTGGATATTTTTGACCAAAGTATGTATGAAATTGGCAGATTTTTAAAATACTGAAATTCATCATCGTACATTCCCTGAGTTTTATAAAAAAAATATTACTTTTGGTAACACAGGGACCAAATCAGATACCCCCTTTAGAATCAACTCCAAATTTCCTGAAAGTATTGCGGGCAAAAATCCAATATTTTAGTGGGATATATTTTCAAAACATAGGATGTGATATATACCCTCGTTTGGCTAGAGTTGGGAGTAAATATTTTTGAAGGCTGGATATTCCACTAAATCAAGTCCCTAATGATCTGCTGATTTGATGGAATTTCCATCTTCAAAATTGTTTACTCCCAATTTTTAGGGCATTGCCAATGGTGTACAACAATTTTTGGGTTATGGTCTGGCCTTGGGTTGGCCATTCCAATATAGATTAGGGATTAGGCACTTTTTATATAGCCCCCATGTAAGGTAATCCCTGATTTCAAGTATATTTTTCGACTTAGCAAAATGTTCAATCGGATTTTGTCAAATTGTTGGCATTTTCGGTTCTCTGTAAAAAAATAATTGTGAATAAGGTGAATCCATCATATATCTCCTGGTGTTAGAATATTCGAAGGTGTGATTGGCGTTTTTGTGTTTTTTTTTGGGGGGATAGAACACTTCTATGTCAGAATTTTTCGTTATAACCGGGGTTCCCAATGTCGAGGCCTCACATAGCGACATTTTTCAACGTTTGTTTATGGTTTTTGGGGATAGGAAATCTTTTTGTAAAAATGTCCCAATATAAGCATTGGTCTATTCCGCATATAATGGCGCCTTCCAAGTTCACGGCCAGAATACATATAATGTTAGAGTCATATGTAAAATTGACTGATGAAGTAGGTTGATAAAATTTTACTCAAATGTATAGTATATCTGCAGGACTTTTGGTATTGAAAATGGTGATTTAAGCGACATTATTCACCGGATATGTTTCAAATTTGGTATTTGAAGTTCGTAATGGATACTACAGCCTATGACAGAAAATTCTCCGTGCAGGTTCACGCCTTCGTATAGCCCCCATATAACGGCACTTTGGTATTTTGATGATTTTAGGGACATTATGCACCGGAAATGTTTCAAATTTGATATTTGAAGTTCATAATGGATACTACAGCCTAGGACAAAAAATTGTCTGTGCAGGTCCACGTCTTCGTATATCCCCCATATAGCTGTACCTCCCGATATTGGGTATTTTGATGATTTTAGCGACATTATTCCCCGTAATTGTTTCAAATTTGGGTTTTGAAGTTCGTAATGGCTACTACAGCTTATGACAGAAAATTTTCTGTGCAGGTCCAAGTCTCCGTATAGCCCCCATATAATAGTACCTCCATATATTCGGTTTTTGGTGATTTAAGCTTTGTTTTATTTTTTTTTTAAATCTTAAACCCTATGCGGGGGAGGTACCAAATAGAAACGATCCGATGTACCATATTTTTAACAAATCCTGTGTTGACGGAAATATTGAGATGCACCAAGTCTGAATGGAATCGGATGTTACTTTCGTGTTTTATGAACTTCATGGATATTAAAAATTTTGACTCTTTGTGGGGAAAGTACCAGAAGGAGTGGACCGATATATTCCATATTCCATACCTTGGGTAAATAAAAATAGTACTCTTACATCACATTGTATTAGAGTTATAATTATTCAAAATTTTGAGGGGGGAGATATTTGATGGAGTGGACCGATATTGTCCATTTATTGCACCTGACCTAGCACTGATTTAAAAATTAGGATTTGCAAAGTTGCAGCAAAATCAAACATTCCCTGTCGTTCTGTGCAGTAAAATATTTTTTGTTGAAAATTTCGAACTCTTGTTGCAGAGTTACCACAAGGACCAGATTGCTCATCTCCGAACTTGATTATAGTTTGATATTAATATTACGATGCACCAAGTTTGAGTGAAATTGGATACTCCCTTCGAGAGTTATCGTACACACAAGATAGACGGACGGAAGAACATTGCTAGATTGACTCCAAACAGACCTAGGGTCTAAAACAGATATTTCGATGATAAGGTATATATAATCGAAATATCTGTTTTAGGCCATATGACTGAGGGTATAAACAATGGTGTATTAACTGGCCCCAAATAATATCTTTGGATTGCAATGTTGAAATCTGGTTCTCGTTTTCTTTTTATACAACTCAAGGAAGCATCACATTGGTGGCAAAATTTTCTTTCGAAATTTAATCAAAATACCTATAAATAGCATATCAGACCATTTCAAAAAATATTCCAAAAAAAAAAAAGGTAAGCATGGCGATTTTGGCTTGGATTCTTTTTTTAAATAGGATTAAAATTCTCATTTCTATAGACCATATCAATTTTAATATATTTTACAGAAAAAAAACAATCGAAAAAAATGATTTTGACTTACCTCCGACCAAGGCTCCACACGCCACACACCCTTGCAACGCTCATTGTAGCACTCCTGGCGACTGATGGGCTTTTCGTATTCCGGACATAGACGAGATACGGTATCATTGGCAAAACGACACGAGACTTCACGTCGCTGGATAGCTGTGTTGCGGCCAAAGCAACGTGACTGATGACACAACGACCATTCTCCCTTGATCCAACGGGGGCACTCTTCGCTACCGCATGTCTCAAAGGTATCGGGTATGTCCAGGCCATAATCTTCACAGAATGCATTGTCCACAACTTCTTCTTGTTCCAGTGGTTCGTTGGTCTCTTCCGTGGTTGCCTCCATACCGAGCAGATTTTCGTTGTCCTCTTCGCCATTGTGGAGGTTGGGGAGGTTGGTTAAATGGATACGTATACAGGTAATGGTGCGTCGCTAATGAATGGACAAATAAAAAATGTTTTAAATAAAGAGGACAATTACATTAAATAAATTGTGTATGGGAGTTTTAATGGAGCTCCCATTCACCCCAACATTCCTCCCCCTTAATGGGGGGTTAAACTTACTCTCAATCCGGAACCAGCAGCTCCACATTTCTGTGAACATGGCGTCCATGGGCTTGTTAGCCATTTGTACGTGACTGTATTGGCGGAAGTCATGTGTGACGGTGGTAGATCTGACCAATGATTCGGCCATCTGGCATGGGGTAAATGTAAAGTTGATTGTCTCTCGTTATCGGTGGCATTTGTCGCTGTATCCGCCGTCTGGTCAACCATATCATCAACATTGTCAACACCATCAACACTGGCATCGTCGTCGTCATCATCATCGCCATCCCCATCAACGTGCGCCCCAACTTCGTTGCCATTGTTTCGGTTGCCTGGTTTTGTGTAAGCCTTGTTAGCGTTTAGCGGAGTTTGCAAGTCTTTGGTTGTAATGTGCGATACCATTTTCAATGGCTCATCCTCCTGATCGACATCCAAGCCATATTGCAGGCCTCTATCCGACAGCATGTGATGGCCACGAGAATTGCCAAATTTCTGGAATGATGACCAAAAATACTGCACACAGCCCAAAAAACAAGGATACAGCATAGACCGGCAGAAAAAAAACCCACACAGTTGGAGAAAATAGAGGAAAATTAGTAAACGCTGAAATGGTAGATTTCGAGCAATTTTGCATAACATATGCGAGATGGAAACTTAAAATGACAATTAAATGCTTTATGTAATGTGTATATGTATGTATATTTGTAATATTTAAAAGAAAACTATTTTTTCTGTAATAAAAAAAAAAAACTAAAACAAATATATGTCGAATTGTTCTAAGAATGTGTGTATGTCCACTACATGCTGATGTTTTTTTTAACAAAAATGTGGTTTTTGAAATGAAAATATGGAAATCATGCTGTTTACAAAATAAAATGGCTCTCCATGCATTCTGCTTTGTGTATGGCATAATTATCAAATGAGATATTACTTTTTTTTTGTTTTTTGGAATATTAAAATAAAGGATTACATCAATAGTACTTCCTTCCGCGATTGATTCCATCCATAGATACACATATTAAAAAAAACAACCTTTTATAATTTGACACTGTCTATAATGGTGTAATATTTTTTTTTAAATCCAATGATTCTTAAAGTAGTCCAAACCACTTTTCAGAGAACTACATTAAATGTTGTCAAATATATCTTAAAATATGAAGCTACCTTTGTATATGGTCAAGGTTATTTATATGTTTTAAACCATTTAACCTAAGACCTCGAAACTATGTTGGAGTTTTGATCTTCAAACTGAGAGGTATCACATCCATTTGTGATTCTCCATAATCCAGACTGGCAATTAACCAGTGCGAAACAGAAAATTTGCAGCCAATTAAGAAAAAATTTTCAATTTTTCAAAAATGAACAAGGTTTTTTATTAGCAAAAACTGGTGATATTTTTTCATGGTACATGTTGAATATACAAATTTCTTTTGTTCAGAGACTCTCAATGAAATTTGATGTAGAACAATTCTCCCTTGAACACTTTCCCCAAAAAATGAAGTGTAAAGGGAGATTTTGGCTTAGACTGGAAACGCGTTAAATTAACAGGAAAAGCAAACTCATAATTTTCACTCGAAGTACATAAATTTCGAATGTAATTTTCTTAAAAACTACTGTATTTAGATATAAAGTTTAAAATGAATTTTACAATTAAACTCTGTGTAAAATATTTCTTCCTTTAATGCCTTCTGCCTTGAAGTTTTATGTTACTTTCAGGCGTCAACTCGAAAAAAGACCAAAAAATATTGATGAAAGAAATGTAGGAATATTTTCGGGAACATCGATGCAAATATATTTTTGATATCCAGTGAAAATAGAGATTTTTGTTCTCTCGTGACTTATGGTGAAATTTGATGAGAAATATTTTTGTTCTTGAAGTCATCCTTGTAAAATGATGTTTTGAATGAGATTTTTACATAAACTCTCATAAAGTACGGCTTTAAGTCTAAAACCAGTAAGGAAAGGTCAAAAGTCGGGCGTGGCCGACTATATGATCCCCCACACCACTATGTGTATTTAGTAGAGCTCCCCTAACAACAAATAAGTATGAACCTTATTTGAATGCATATCATGGCACAATTTGGGAATTATATCCAACTCTGAATCGATTTTCAACAAATTTGACTCAGGCTTTTTACCTCTAGTACCAAATAACATTGCTGTATGGTGCATGATATGGCTTCTATAAGAATTATATAAAAACAATTTTTTTTCAGCAATAGATATACGGGACCAACCTTTACTAAATGGAAAAATTCGGTTGAATGTATAAAAATCTACCCAATTTGGGCTGATATTACATATATAATAGACAATAACCGTAAAAACGTATGAACATGTACATCGAAGGTATATAAAAATCTGAACCGATCTCAAAAAAAAATTTGCCAGAGGTATATTCGAACTGTATCTGATGTCCAGTATGAAATATCCTTGTTGTGATGTGCTTAATACGCATGTTATTGACTTAAACCCCCAAATCGGATGGAACATATATATGGGAGCTATATCTAAACCGATTTTCACCAAATTTGATGTACTTGCTTATAGACTGAATTCGGTTGGATGTTCCAAAATTCAGGTCATTTGGATTGATATTGGCCATTTGGTGCACAATAAACCTGAGCTATATACAAATCTGAACCGATCCTGAAATAATTTTAGGAACTTAATTTTGAGCTGTATCTGATGTCCGATATCAAATATCCTTGTTGTGCATATTACTATTATGCATATTACTATTATGTGAGGTACTTAAAATAATAAAAAATTAGATGGATTGTATGTATTGGAGTTATAGCTATATCTGAACCGATTTTCAAGATTAAAACTTTCCACCTAAATAATATCCCTGTTTTTCTTGCCCCCTTCTATTTATAAAACTTTGTGAAGTAAACTTTCAAAACGCCAATACGAGTGTTATCTTCACTTTCATAATCTACCAAAGCTTTTCTGTAATTTCAAATACTTAATTTTAACTACAGAAGGTTTTCCATTTATTTAATATATTTTGAAGGCCTGTAAATGGCAATATTTGAGATATACATTATATTTTACATTCTATACATTCGCTTTGGTAAATAGAATGTGTGCTAGTATATATATATATATATTTTCTATATTATTTATTTTATATATTGAAGGTATTGATAAAAGACATGTATAGGATCCAAAGTACAAAAAAAAAGAGGTAGAAAAAACTACGCCTTAAAAATATTTTCTTCCTTTTGGGGCAGTTATTCTGTAAAAGTATATAAAAGGTTTGTATATGTGTGTGCTTGTTCTAAAAAATGGTAAAAACACAAAATATGACTGTTTTGGTGCATGTCATAAAATTGTATTTGCTTTATAAGACTATATTTTAAGACTCAAATTTGATTTGCTATATAAGACTCTACTACCGCGTTGTATTTTACCTATTTTCTTTGAAATTAAATTAGTTTTCTTGTTAGTCCATACTGTTATCCATCATTAGGCAACCAACGAATGTCTAACTCTTTTAGAAAAAGCTACAATTTAAGAAATGTTCATCTACAAAACCAAAACTAATTTGTCCTCTTGAATTCTTTGAATTTAATTACATTTCACTGTCCCTATATGGCTATCTTAAATTAGAAGAATTGGAGGAAACACGTAATTTATGTCGCTTTAATTTTTGCAGCTCTTTGCTGGCTCATGAACACACATTGTAATCAAAGAGTGCATTTTTTTTTTGTTTTTGCAAAAGGACACTTTACAGTCTCGCCATGAAATGGTACGGCAATGAAAATTTGCTGCAAATGCGAATGGCCAAGAAAAGTATGAGAGTCGAGTTCAAATGTAGCCGTGTCTGAACACACTTTGCATAAAAGCCTCAACGTTGTTGTGGCATGCTTAACACATTTCGCTTTCATTTTATGCTAATGTTGCACGCCACGTCAGACACACATACAGACATATGCATATACACCTTAAAGAGCACACACGCATGGGTACCTCTTAAATACGTATGTGTATGTGTGTATGGATGGAAGTTTAGAAATGCCTTGGCGCAAAACATTGACGACGACCATGGCCATTGAAAACGAAACAAATTTCCAAAAATATAACAGAATCCTAAAAATGCAGTGCATTTCAATTCAGCCAGCCGGCTTTCGGAGATGAGGCAACACCGGTGAACAGAAAAACAGTGGAACATTGATTTCCCAAGTGCCACTTAAAATCCCCTAACTTTGGGAGGAAAAACAAAAAACCTATACGATTCTCCCATACACACACATGCTATATATGTATGCATATATGTAGTACATGACCACTCTCGTTCTCGTTCTCTTTCCGTTTCCGTTTGTCTTTTATTTGGCTGTTGTATTGTTGCAAAAATTTGAAACATTCACAGCAGATGAATTTAAGTGTGGCTGTGTGCCACTCACTTCACCAGCCACATGACGCCAGTGTTGGAGTGTGTAAGTGTCCCTTGAATGCGTTCCATATTCATGAGGATTGCATTGCATCTGAATGAGGAACGAGCGACGACTGAGTGCAATAGTAACAATAACAATAAGGACCTGAATGTTATTGCCGGGTATCAGATTCGGATAGATGTTGTTGTTGTTGTGCCACCGAGTTTCCCCAACATTAATGGGTTGGCTGTAGATCGACGGTGTTGTAGTTGCATTCTGGCGGCCATAGAATAACGGTGTTTTGCATCTATTTGGTCTGTCAATATTGAATAATGTATGACCCAACAGCCACCATGCCACTATGGTTTGCATTTAAGTACAAATTTGCATCACTCTAATGTTTGTCGAGGGGTCTTGGGAGATATTTGGTTAAATGGGTGTAACCAATATTGATATCTGTTGTGAAGATGGTGAAAAGAAAATTTTTGGTTCCGTAATTTTTAGTGGTAAATTGGTTTGGTTTATCCCAAATTTGATATTTATGGTAAAAATTAAGACAGAAACATCTTTGCAAATTTTTGGTTTTTTTAATTTTTGGTAGCATTTTACGAAAAGTTTGTCCCAAATTTCGTATTTACGGTGAAAATTGAGACAGAAACATCTTTGCACTAAAATTAGTTTTGCTCGACAAAATGGTAAAATTTGCAGTACAAAATGGACAAAATGGTAAATTTGTTGCAGAACCTAAATATGTCAAAATATTCGGTATTTTGATGATTTTTGCGACATTATTTATCGGAATTTGAAGTTCGTAATGGGTACTACAGCCTATGACAAAACATATCCTGTGTGCAGGTTCACATTTTCGTATATCTCCCATATAACGGTACCTTCCGATATTTTAAAGATTTTAGCGACATTATTCACTGGAACTGTTCGAATTTAAAGTTCGTAATGGGTACTACAGCCTATGACAAAAATTTTCGTAAGTAGGTCCACATCTACGAATAGTCCCCACATAATGGTTTTCATTTCTAGTTCCTTCCAAAAGGCGGAGGGTATTAAAAGTTCGGCCCGACCGAACTTAGCTGCTTTTTTACTTATTTTCTTCTTTCATTGTGTACACGTTCACCT